CCTCTGACTCACTGATCCACCTCCACACATTCAGCACCACATTCGATGAACCGCTGCATTTGGGACTGAGAGGAACTCTTAACTATTATGAGTAGAAAAAACCCAACAACGATGGTTTAAGTAACATTTAGTAAATTTAAACAAATTAGAATTGGTTGTAGCTGTGGCTGCATCTACCTTGGGTCCTTTAAATAGCAACCATCTATTTCCTCCATCACTTTTGGACTCGACATTTTCAGAGTGGCATGACAAGGGTATTACACAACTTAGATTTTTATATGTAGAGGGTGTTTTTGATAGTTTTACCAATTTGTCATCTCGTTATAACCTCCCTATTACTCACTTGTTTCGCTATTTTCAAACTCGCAATTTTGTGGCGAAGTGTTTCCCTAATTTCCCCTCTCTACCTCCAGAACACCAGTGGGAAACCATGCTTTCTTTTGTTCCTCATCATAGAGGAATCATTTCAAAGCTGTATGATATCATCTTAACTTTTGGCAACCACTCTAATGCTAAACTTAAGTGTACATGGGAGGGGGAACTGGGAATACAATTACATGAGGAGTCCTGGAAACAGGCCATAGAAAGGGTACGAACTACCACCTCTTGTGCTCGTCTTGGACTTATTCAATTTAAGGTCTTACACAGGGCACATTTCTCCAAGTCAAGATTATCTGAACTGTATCCAGATGTGGAAGACAAATGTGATAAATGTCATGGCTCTCCTTCTCACCTTAGCCACATGTTCTTTCTTTGTCCTGATTTGAAAAGTTTCTGGGCGGATTATTTTACTATTATGTCCTCTGTTCTTGGGGTAAACCTTCAGCCTTGTCCTCTGATTGCTATATTTGGTATTCCTAACCCCTCAATTGCACTTAACCCTACACAAAAGGACATTATACCTTTCACATCCTTACTAGCAAGACGTTCCTTACTGTTACACTGGAAGTCTGCCAGATATCCTTCTATCTCTCTATGGCTCAAAGATGTCATGTTTTTTCTGAAACTTGAAAAAATTAAATTCACAATGAGAGGATGTACAGTCAAATTTTTCCACAAATGGCAACCTTTTATTTCTTATTTTACTAATTTGGACGTTTTACCCAATTGAATGTGTGTCTGTTTTTGTTGTATTTTTTTTTATATATATTTAACAGATAACCAGTACTATGTTTGTTTGTTGTGTTGAGCTGAGAGGGGGTGTGGGTGGGGGGTGGTTCATTGTTTACCACACGGCACTGTAATTCAATTTAATTATTTTCTTCTACTTTATTATTAGAGTGGGGTTTTGCTTTGTTTTTGTGTAGTTATCCTCGTTTTTTCTGAGTGTATATGTTTCCGTGTGCATATGCATGTGTTTAGGAAAAAAAAAAAAAAAGGGAAAATGTAAATTGTATTTCTATGATTGAAAACATTATAATGTGTTTTTTTTCCAATAAAAATATGTGGGAAAAAAAAAGAATTTGGTGTAGCTGCAGTTGAATGGAAACTGAAAACTGCTTTCTTTAAACTAACCATAACATTTGAAACACTGGAGGCACCAGTGATACCATTGCTTTGAAATCTCATTAAAGTACTTAAAGGAATAGTACACCCAAAACATGATTAGCCTTCATTCTCTACTCACCCCCATGCTGAACAACACTCTGGAG